ATGAAATATGCTTATGAGGAATAAGCAGCCCATGCTCTTCCCATCATGCCTCCTACATTTTCACAGTATCATGTTAATGTACGAGGAAGAGGAGTAGCTTGCCTAAATTGACATTGTTGTAGCCATTTAGAGACCAACGGCTCCCTTCCTCATCTGACTCCCCAAGTAGAATTATCCGTAAATGTAAGGAGCTCAGGTGATATAGGTGTCTACTTGGGTTTGAACCACAGCTTTATCACTACAGGACCAAGATAGGTTGATTAATTTTCTTAAATGGTTGTTATAAGTAAGAACTACTCATACTATTGCACACAATAACATGATTAACACATTACTTGACACGTAGTTCTCAGTAACAATTTAGTTACTAATACTATTATCATCATTATTGTGTGGCATTACATGTTCCTACGTGGAATTCTGCTTTTCTTGTTTGGATATAACATCAGCAGCGAAAAAGGAAAGGAAAAAAAAATACAATAGGCACAGAGTCCTACATTTATTTAAAGCATGATTTTTTAAATAAGAAGCTGTGCTTAATCTGGAAGAAGTGTGCCTTTTACAAGACATGGCCCTTGCCCACAGCAAACTGTAATAGGAATTGTTCAGGCTGAAATAATGAGATAGTATCCAGAGACTCCAGAAATGCATTTTCCCCACAAATTTCTTATATTTTGTGTTACTGAGCAGATTAAAAAAATTAGGGCGTTTGAATCCACTTACTGTCAGTATTCATCAGTAGGCGTCTGGTTCTGTTGGGTCTGTCTTTGACGAGTCATGAAGCCCAGCAAGTATCAGGAGCTGAAACAAGGGATCCAGCCACTCCTTGGGGAAATATACACATCAACACCATTTTGAGCCCAGTCACAGTACTGACCTGTGTTCCCTGAGAACTGAAATCTGTTCACCGCCACTCTTGCACAGTCCGCTGCGTGCACCCGGACTGGCTGTTTCTCAGCACTCGGTGGAGCTGCAGAGCCGCTCAAAGGTGGGAAAGGACTCTTCTTCTCCTTGAGCTGGAATAGGGGCCCCTGAACTGACCCATTCAAAGGTCCCCATGCAGAGGTCACTCTGCTCCATTTTGTGTGCCAACAACCCTGTAAGTATTTGAAGACATTTTTTTCAATATATTCCCTGGGCTGGATGTCTCCATTTCTTCCAGTGGCTCCTCATTTCTCAGGGAATCCAATCCCTTTAGGAGCCTGATTGCTTTCTGCAAATTGTGCACTAGACCTGAAAATCGTGTCTTTGCATCAGGAAAGCCGTATATACTGTCTGTAAATGGAAATGAAGCCAAACCCACACAGATGAAAATCCACGCAGCGCATCCTGGTATAGAAAGTAGGTGAGCCTGTGTGTTCCTGTTGAGGCAAGTCACATCCTGAGAAAAATAGTGACCAGGATATGTGGGTTCCCTCTCTGACCATCAAACATCTTGGCATATGCTAAGCATTTCTCTGTTCAGATGTAGTTATGTTCGGTCTCTCACTCAAATGAAATTGCACCAGGTGTCCTGTTTAACACAAATGTTAAAGCTTTTTATAAACATTGTCCTATCTCACATGAAATCCAAAGCCTAATTCTCAGTTGCCATGCCCGCCCTAATATATAACAGAACAAAGCCTTGCCGAGTCCTGAACCATCTTTATGATCATCCGTGTGCTTTGAGTCCATTGCTGTGGCTGGTGGGAGGTGCCCTTGTCTTCACTGACCCTCTCGCTACTTTACTAGACAAAATGTCCTTTGCTTATAATTAGTTCCTCCTGGTGATTTTTCCCAAGTAAGATTCATCAGACAATATAATTTGATGCATCATTCTGTATCATATCATATTGTCTGCATCCATGGACTCATACATAAGAATAATTGTAGGGATGGCACAGGACTGGGCAGTGTTTAGGGTCACTATGAGTGGAAACTGACTCACTGGCACCTAACAACAACAATAACAACAACAACAAAGTTTTAACTGGTTAGTTTTTAGAATGAGATCGCTGAGCATTTCTTCATAGTCTGCCTTGGTCTAGAAACTGGGAATCCTGTCCACCCTGGGTGACCCTGCTGGTAGCTGACACACTGGTGACCTCGTTTCCAGCCTTCGAGAGAACGATGGGGCTTTCTCCATCCATAAGATGAGACGGTCTCAGAAACCCACAGGGACAGTTCTGTCCTGTCCTACGGTTTGCTGTGAGTCAGAATCAACTTAATGCCAGTGAATGTTTGTTTTTTAGTTCCCAGATTATGGCAGTCCTCAAATCACCACAGTAAACTGATGGAGTGTGGATTTACAATATCGATCCCAACATGGAACATAAATACTTATTGAAAACCTGTTAAGTGCTGGAATAAAGATACCACTATACAGATGTGAAGCTTACCTTCTGGATAGTCATGTTCTCATGTAGAAACTGACAAGAAACTGTGGAAGAATGTGATCCATGTATGGACCAAATATGTCCCTTAATTCCACTTACTTTTCCTTTTCCTTTGTAACATGGTATTGGACACATCTTTTTTAAGTTGGGGGAAATGTAATTAGCTGGATTGCCGTCAGTCTGTCCATGAATGTACTATTGAAGACGCGAGAACCACGCAGAGTGAGTATAAGTCTTACCACATAGATGGTGACCTGGCTTACCAAACAAATACAAAGGGCTTTTATGAATAACAATCATTTTATTTATTCCCTCTCATTTGGGGCGTAAAGACAAATAGAACTACATTTTCAAATTGGTAGAAGTTTCATTGGAAATATCTCTTAGCTTGTTTTGAAGAAGAGATCGTTTTGGTGAGAACTACTTACAAATGAAGATTTTTAGGAAGCAGTGAGGTTTGTTGCATTAGAAATGCTCAATTAGAGTTTAGAAAACAATGCTATTACAACCAAATAGAATAATTGCCATAGAATAGTCGCACAGTAGAATTTTATGGAAAAGAGGAAAGGGAGCTGGGAGGAAGAGGCAAGTAGGAGGCAGGGGAGAGACTTTTTAGTCATTTATTTCAAGATATTTATTGAACACATTCTCTGTGTGTCTTATCAGGCTACAGTGGAAAGAATCCCAGAAGTGATTCATTCCCAACCCCCATAAATAATGAGCAACCCCAAATATAATGAGCATTGGATCACCTAAATCTTTAGCTGTAAGTAGTTGAAACTGTTAAGAACGAAAAGTCTGAAGAGTTATAGAAAATGGTACAGAGAGCAGAGCTGAGACCTCTCAGGATTTGAGTTGTACGTGGACCCTAGTAAGTGGAGTCTTTTCACACCGGTGAAAATTGTGTGTCTGGAGTAAAAAGAACCCTCAGAGAATGCGGGGAAAGCCAGTGTTTCTGAATCCCAGAGGTAAGTGCTACACAAGATGAGGTTGGAGACGTGACTGGGAGCTGCCAGGCAGAGACTCTGGAAAGTCACAGTGAGGAAGCTAGGCTCACCCTACGTATATTGGGCACCTTAGTAGCCTTAAAGGCAGGGGAAAGACATATTGAAATCTAGTTCTTTAACTAACTTTTTGATCTGCTTCATGGTATCACTTTTGGGGGGGCGTGGGCAGAGGGGAGAGGTGATGGATGAGGTTGGGGTGAGACAATACAGTGCAGATGAGCTGAGTGGACAGTGGAATGGAGATGAATAGAGGTTCAAGGATTTGAAGATGAGGTAAAAATAGGCACTGTGCTAGATTGGAGAACATGGGGAGGTGGGAAGCAGTCAGGAGTGTCAAGATGATTGGGGCTTCTGACTCGTGTGCTAGGTGGCCAGTCGTGGTGGTAACTGAAGCAGAACACACTGGGTTTTAGGTGGCAAACTTGTAGGAGAAAAATCCAGGTTTCTGTTTGGGATATAATGATCTCCAGATCAATTGTGTTGTATGCACTGTGCTACATGCTTTGAATACTTTGCTTCTTTTAGATATTACAAACACCTTGCAAGTTAGATGTCAATTAACTCAGGTTATAGTTAAGATAAATGAGAGGCACAGACAGGAGGAGTGAGTGGTGCCTGGGTGTGAAAACAGATTTAACTGACTTCCAGGTTTCTTCTCTTAGTGTTCCTTGTTTGGAGCCCATTCAGGCTCAAACCAAACCTACAAAATAGGGAAGAAGTTCTCCATAGGCTTTCCTAGTCTGTCATCTTGATAGATCCATTTCTTTCTGCCAGCAGACGCGCGAATGGTTTGAACCAGTGACCACTTGGTTAGCAAATTATGCACTCAGTCATTATGCTACCAAGACAGCTAAAGTCTCTGGTACATCTACAGCAGTCTTACTGAAATTAATCAAATATTCAATATATAGTTACATTGCCAATAAATAAGAAGACTCTTTTCCTAATGGTACTTTGGAATCTAAAGAAAAATAACTTTTAAAAAGATACAAATAGGTATAGACTCTCCTTGATCTCTTCTTTCTCAGCCTTTCTAGAGATTTAAATAGTCATAGATTGATGCTCCCAGCTTAATCAAAGTAAGTTTTCATACCAAAATGACATTGTCAAAATAGTTTCAAAGTTGTTTTTTTCTATAACCACAGTATAATCATCTTGCAGAAATCATCACCCACTCCACTAGGCATCATGTATCTCCAAAATATTGTAGCTGGCCAAAAAAAAACTAGATAATTAAGACAGAAATGCAAATCATGTTGCCCTCTGGCCTATATCTCTGGGAAACAGAATGTAGTTGACACACAGGATGATGGTATACTGTAATGATGATGAGGTTTTATGGACTCTCAGAATAGTGGTCATTTTAAAGGTGATGCAGCCAATGCCCTTCAGTTTACAGATGGGGCACTGAACCTGGCAGAGAAGATAAGTAGAGCAGCAGAGCTGGCAATGAAGTCGGCCAGAAACTAATGTGTCTCTTCCTGCACCCTGGCCATTCTACCCATAACCACATGTGATTTGCAGAGAGAAAGAGAGCACAGCAGATATATGAATAGCATGTAGTAAGATAGATAGGAGGGTATGTGTTATCTCATTAACAGCTACTATTGTGTTTGAAGGGCTCATGATGGCAGCACATATACTCACATTAGAATGATATAGAGAAGACTAGCATGGCCCTTGCACAAGAGCGACACATACATTTCGTGAAGTGTTCCATATGTAAGAGCTCTGGTGGTGTATGGGTTATGCCTTGGGTTGCTAACCACAAGATCAGCTGTTTGAAACCACCAGCCAATGCTTGAGAGAAAGGTGGGGCTTTCTGTTCTTGTAAAGATTTACAGTTTCTGATATCTACAGGGGGAGTTCTCCTTTGTCCTGTAGGGTCCCTATGAGTTGTAATTGACTCAATGATAGTGAGTTTTGTTTTTGTTTGGTTATAGTGTTTTGATGTTGTTTTATTTTTACATTTTCTTATTTCTTTGAAGAATCTAGTTAGATTGCTATTATTAGCTCCATGTAGCAGATGACGAAACCGAAGCTCATATTATTAGTTCACTACTAACCTAGCATACATATTACCACATAAATTTCATGAACTTCGTTGATTCTGAATCATAGCAAGTCTGTGGAACAGAACAGAATTGCCCCTTAGGGTTTCTAAGGCTCTCAATCTTTATGAAAACAAAATTCCACATCCTTTTCTTACTGAGGGGTGAGTGGGTTCCAACCACTGACCCTGTGGTTATCTACATAACCCTTCAGCTACTATGCCACTAGGCCTCTTACATCCTACACGGATATCTAAATTATACCTATATCAAGTTTTAAAGTACCTTGGGAATCACTTATAATTTATATTAACTTTTACAAAATTGCCTTGAGAAAAGTTGGAGCTTTTTTAAGAATGAGATTACAGCAGAAACCTTAGCGACTTATTCAAAGTTTTAAAAAGCTGTTCTTTTTGAACCTGGAGCTGAATTAGAAGAGGGTTCATTCACCCCCTAGTTTTGGGTCTTGAACAACACATGTGACATTTTAGGGTCCCATTGATTCATCATAAATAGGTATTTTAAAATATCCATTTCCCAGGGCAATGGACATCATAAAGAGGTGCTTTCTAAAATTAATGCACTCAAGGTATAGTCAAGAACAAGTCCAGCAGAATAGGGAACGAGGATGAGCATGAAGGATCTGCACTTGACCATTGATCCACAGCCCCAGGCACGTTTTGGGACTGAGCAAAGCAAAGTCCGACTCAGTGAGCAGGAAAGGCAGAAACACGGGGAGACGAGTGGGTGTTGGGAATTAGGCATTGGAATTGGTCATTCTTACAAGCTCTGTGAGTTCGGGTGAAATGCATAATCTCTTTTGTCTCAACTACAAATCTGGGAAAATGATTTTTTTTAATTGCTCAGTTCTTGACACACAATAGGTACTTAGCAAATTCATCTTGGTTATTGCCCAAGTCAGAGGCATGAGTTAGAGAAAAATTACAAGTCTCTTATTGCGCATAGTTATTACCAGGTAGTCTGAATTCAGATATTTTACTTTAGCAGATTTATTAAACCAATTTGCTTTGTTTTTTTGTTTGCATAATTCAAGAAAAAACACAGATTCTAATTGGTTTCCCTCTAGCATGGACCAGTGAGATCAGACCCGCTTGATGTCCTCTTATACAATAAGCTACAAACCTTCTGTAAGTCATCTTATTAGCTCCCCTGTGATATTTATGAAGCCTGCGAATTGCTAATGGTCTTAAACGGGGTTAAGATCTTCAGTGTGCATGGTGAAGGGGGCTAGTAGGGAGAACCAGAAGACGTTAAAAGACTTGAAGTGCAGATCTTTACAGCACCATTTTGTGATTGTCAACTACCCAGCGGGTGTCTGGCAAATACAGTGTGGGGTCTTATTCCCATCATCTGTGTGATGGTGGACCATCTGGGCTCATAGAAAGAGACATTGTCTCAAAGATTTGGCTGAACTAATTAGTCAATGAATAAATTATCACAACCGACAAATGCAGTTCAAACCAGAAGTGACCGTGGATTTTTAAAATGTTATCAGACTCAGCTGAGTCTCTGGGAAATAATTTATTTGTAAATAATGACTTAGATGGGCCTGGAAGCATGCCTCTCGCCCCCTTATGACTTTATTCTTTTTTTTTTTAAACACTTACTCACACTGAAATGGAAACAAAGATGTTAATAAACAGTTGAACTAAATAGATGGTGCACACGAGGAGAATTTCGATAGGTATCCCATTCCCAACTTGTTCTGCCAACTGATGCATCTATAAATGTCCAAAGGGACAGCTCTGACTAGATAGATCTTTTGTTCACAATATACAGATAGTTTTCTCTTATCCATATGATTCAATTCCTTAGACTCATATCATAGGACCATCATGATCAATGATAAGAAAGATGACTAGTGTTTATTAATCCCTATGAATCAGATAATTCGGTGAATATTTTATATGGATTAGTTTATTTAATCCTTAGCATAACATTATGTGTTATGAACTATAATTATCACTCTTCTATCTGTGAGGCAACTGAGGCTTAGATGTCTTGATGGAGCTAGATGTAATTGTATAGGTTCCAACTCAGAGTGACTCTGCGCACCAGGACATACCACTGTATGGTCCTGAACCAGGTATTTTCAGCTGTGTCTTCTTATCTTGAGTCCTGCCATATCTGCACGAGGGTCCTCACACCTTCTTCCACATCAGAAGGTGAACTCTAGTGTGAGGAGACAGCTCTTCCTCAACTGTATTTGGAGTGCCTTCCAGCCTGAGGGGATTATCTTTGGGCCATATAAGAGAGTGTTATACAGCTATACATAAGAGGTCCTTGGTCATTTTTTTTTCCAGAAGGAGATTCATAAATTCTCCTTCCAAGTCTATCTTAATCTAGGAGCTCACTGAAAGCTGTCAGTCATTTCTGTCTACCTTGCTGGTATCTGGAAAAATGATGGTCCAGCTTCTAGCATCACAGTAACACGCAATTGATTAGTGTACCCAAAACTGACAGATGAGTGGTTTAGGGACATTTGAGAATTTGTCCAATGTTACTTAAATATTGGTAGAGGTAGTATATGGGAGAGGTAAAATACGAGCCTAGAATGTTTGTGTTTACTATATATACCCCAGGGGTCAGTAAATTATGGTCACAGACCTAAGAAGGAATGTTTAGAGTTCTAAATGATTTTTATCAATTCAAAATGGAAGTAACATTTGATAACAGGTGAAATTATATGAAATGCAAATGTCACTATCTACAAATGAAGTTTTATTGAAATGCAGCCTAAATCATTTGCTTACATGCTGTCTATGGCTGTTTTTACACTACAATGGGAAAGCTGATTAGTTAGGACAGAAATTGTGTGGTCCACAAAGCTGAACATATTTTCTATCTGACCCTTTACAGAAAAAGTTTGCTGACCCTGATGTATCTTAACCAGTGGGCAATATTGACACCCACATTCATCCTGCCAATTCTACCTCTTTTCACCTCCTGCTTTAGTCTGTGTTTCACCCTTCACCACAAAAGAGAGACAGAGAGAGAGAAGGAAAAATAAGTCTCACTATGATTGCATTATTGATTTGTTAAGTTAAGCGCATGTCTAAAGGAATGTTCAGTAAGTATTTGACTGTTAACCACAAGGTCAGTGGTTCAAGCCCACAAGTCAATCCATGGGTTAAAGATGAGGCTTTCCACTTCCCTAAAGATGTACAGTTTCAGAAAGTCTAGGGAGCAGCTCTCGTCTGATGTACAGGGTAGTTATCTGTAAGAGTCCATTTGAAGGCACTGGGTTTGGGTGGTTTTTGTTTTGTGTTATTTTTTTAATGTCTAAAGTCATTGGCTTAGAAGCAGAGTAAGCTTCTCTTGATCCATTCACTAGATGACCAGTGCGATGAGCTCCCTCGTTGGCTTTAGTCATTGAGGGTCTACCCAGGTTGGGGCTGGCCCAATCACAATTTGGAATGTGGTTGGTTAGATGGTAGGATGACCCAAGCAAATGTTCACTACATCTCTTCTGCCCGAAGCCTCTCAGCCTGTCTGCTCCGGGGATAGCAGATCTCGCTTTCCTCTTTCCTCACATAGCATTTTCTCCTTCGCATCTTGATATATAGTGAGCTATATATATTCTCTTTCTCAAGCACTCTTACCACTTGATTATCTTCAAATAGCAGTCTCTCTTATAATTATTGATTTCTGTGCTGCTGTCAGGAAATCCTCTCACCTAAAAACCTTCCTTTAAGGTATCTTTATGTGAGTTTAAAAGCATATTTTGTTGTCCCTTTTAGGAGGGCTATTAATATTGCATGTGAGCTTCCAGACTTCCTTAATGTGTTTTTTAATGTGCTTCAATCGGTTTCTTGAATTAGAAGGGATGTTGAGGGCCAGCACTGAGATGGAGAGGGTGGGAGGGTCAGAGGTACATTGTAAATCAGGGATGTTGTATCCATGCATCCATTCAACCCTCAAATAAAAGATGGAAATTTTGCATTTCAAATTGACACACTTGACACATTCCTATCCAAACGCTGAACCTCAATTTTTACTTACATGAAAGTAGCAATAATTGAAATGCCTGTCATGCTCATCAAAAGCTAGAATGCAGACTCTCCATAACAACACTATTCCTAATAGACAAAAGCTGGTAATAACACAAGTGACAAGTAATAATATAATAGATGACTGCATTGCGGTATAGCCCCGTAATGGCGTTGTATGCACCAGTGAGGAGGAGCAATCTCTAACCTTTCCCAATGATATGGATATTATTGTTAGCTGCCACTGAACTGGTTCCTTAGTCATGCCACCATATGCACGTAGGATTTTCACTGGCTGGTTTTTGGAAGTAGGGTTCCAAATCTTATTTCACATTCGCTCAGGAGCTCCGTTAAAACCTACGCCGTAACACGTAAGCCACCACTGGCCGATGATGGGCAGTCATGCACATCAGGTGAATTAGCAAGAAATTGAATGCAGGTATCCCCATGGAAGGGGAGAATTCTACCACTGATCCATCATTGCCATCATAATAAGGGAACGTATCTCCTACATATAATTATTGACCGAAAGATTTAGATAACAAAAGATTATACTGCATGATTTTTTTTAGCATATATTGCAAACTGGGTTAACTAATGTGTTATATGTCAAGACATTCGCTGTCCTACAAAAGAGAATATGGAGGTAACTTCTGGATGCTGGT